AGAGGGGGGTGGGACAAGGTTTGGCTCTGGGAGGGTTGGGGACCCCCTTGGTGGCCCCTCCACCCCCCGGGGAAGCTCGGGGACCCCCCGGGCCGCACCGAGACGCCCTCGAAGGCCGAGGAGTTGAGGGCCCGGTAGATCTCGTCCGTGATGTTCTTGTTGTTGTAGTTGAAGTCCTCCAACCTCAAGCCCTTCTTGACCAGCTCGGCCGAGGTCTTGTTGAGGGCCAGGGCCAAGGCCCAGATGGCGTCGTAGGCCAGGGGGGCCTCCTGGAACCCCCCGGTCTCCTCGGGGTTCTTCCCCAGCCTCTTCTGGAGCTTCTCGATGAACTCCTGCGACGTCTGCGGGGGGTCGACACCGCGGGTCGGGGGGGGTCGGGTTGGGGTGGGTTGGGGACGTTCTTGGTGGCACCTCCACCCAACTGGGAGGGTTGGGGACGTTCTTGGTGGCACCTCCACCCAACTGGGAGGGTTGGGGACACCCTTGGTGACACCTCCACCCAAAATGGTGGGTTGGGGACACCCTTGGCTTGAAGGGTTGGGGACACCCTTAGTGGCCCTTGAAGTGTTGTTGACCCCCTTGGTGCCCCTTGGAGTGTCGTTGACCCCCTTGGTGCCCCTTGGAGTGTCGTTGACCCCCTTGGTGGCCCTGGGACCCCCTCGGTGGCCCTTGGAGTGTCATTGACCCCCTTGGTGGCCCTGGGACCCCCTCGGTGGCCCCGGGCGGGTCGGGGTCGCCCTGGTACCATGTTGGAGATGCTCCTGGTGTTCTCGGGGTTGAGCATCACGATCTCGGTGGTGACGTGCCCCTCCACGGCCTCGGCCATCTCGGCCTCGGTGCAGTTGATGGCGGGGTCCTTGATGCGGAACCAGTTGTCGGCGTACCAGCCAATCAGGAACCACACGTACTTCTTGCCGTAGAGCTTCTCCTTGTACACCTGGGGGGGTCCGTCCGTCCATCTCCAGCGTCTCCAGCCACCTCCAGCTGACCATGTCCATCCCTCCATCCACCTTCCATCCCTCCATCCACCTTCCATC